TCCCTTCCCCATTCGAACTGCCCAGTAGATTTGTAGGAAATCAATTGACAATATAAGCCTGGATCCATTTATAGGCTTTCTTCTAATCTGTTGATCTAAATGCCCTTAACTGTCACAAAGCTCGTGGTTGGGACAGTTGGGAATTGTCTCAATAGATTACACCTCTCCATCTGGGTCATTGGTACAACCCATCCCCAAAATTCATAGAATATGAGAACCATTCACGCAAGCTGTGTTAGGCAAGGTTCTCTATAGAACCAAAATCAGGACACTTATGAATCTATATATATATAGAGAGAGAGGTTTATACAGCAAGAAGGAATATAACAGCTAATTAGTCCACACAGCAGTACAAAGGGCTCTCAGTTCCACTCAGTTTTGTGGAACAGTTAATGTACCAAAGGCCTTCAACTCATGTGGGCTGCTGGGTCCAAGGTCAAGGGAGCAGACAGGGGAGTCTTCCCTCAATCAAGGAGGAAGAGCTGGCCTGCAGGCAGCAATCAGAAGGGTGGGTCAGCAACAGTCAGCTGCTCCAGAGCTTAGTAAAGCAGGCCCGGATGGGATCTCAAAGTCAAGCGTGGCCACACGATCCACCAGCCTCAAGCTCAAGCGATGTACGCACCAGCAGCATGGTGAAGCAGGTCTCGAAGGAGCCTCAAGCTCTACAACACGATCCACAGGTTGGCCTGGCCTACGGGTAATGTAGCACAAGGGTTGAGGCGAGAACTAGCTAAAGCAGCAGCATGCTGGTTCCATCACCAGGGAGCGGGAGAGATGCCAGCTGCCTTTATTTACTTCGACCGTCCTCTAATCAAGCTGCGACCTAATCAGACTCCATCCACATGTTCCTGTTGGCCTAGTTGCCACAGCAAACCTAACTGTAACACAAGCCTTGTGGTTTGCCAGTTAGTCACAATTCTGGAACAGGGAAGTCATCAAAATTAATATGAATGAACCTTGACAACATTCTAAGTAAAGTGGGGGAAAGAAGACTCCAAACCTATATATGTATTGAATGATTCTATTTATATAAATTTTCCTGAATTGGCAAATCAACAGAAGCAGAGGATGGAAGGGTGGTTTCCCAGGGCCTAGGTAGCAGTATGGTCACCCTAGAGTGGATTCCAACTCATAGTGGCCTCATGTGGCCCCATGAGTGACCTTTCAGAAGCAAATCACCAGGCCTGTTTTCCAAGGAGCCTGCGGGTAGATTTAAACCACCAACCTTTGGGCTAGCAGCCCAGCACTTAACCATTGCACCACCCAAAGAGATCGAGAGTGGCTGAGTGGCTGCTTCACAGGTGTGGAGTTTCTCCTGGGGGCGATGAGAAAGTTCTGGAACTAGATGGTGGTCATGGTTTCCCAGTACTGGGGCTATACCTGGTGCCAGTGAATCGTACACGTGAAAATGGTTAACCTTATGCGCTGTGTGCTGAGAAAGCGCATTGCAAAACTAAAGCTCTTCAGTCTTGATATGACGGGAGAGCTAGCCAAGGTCCAGGCCACATCCCTACTCCTGTCCTGAGAGGCACCGTGTTGCATGTTTCTGCCAAACGGCACAGACCATTGCCTCTGCAACATTTCCTTTTGCACATCTGGCTTCAATGCAACTTCTACAGGGGAAAAGAATGCAGTTTTGCTCACCTTGCGCTGCTTATTCTGAGCTATATGGCTGATGTTAAGAAAAGGTTATTATACTTGTCCAGGGGTTAAATATTGTGTTAGCGTGACTAAACCACCTGCCTGTAGTGGTGAAGCAACACCTTTCTCAAAAATTGTACCACTTCTAACTAACCCAGCTGATGGTTAGCATAAGCTAACATTACCAAGTTGTAACTTTTCTTTTCTTTTTTTTAACATTTTATTAGGGGCTCATACAACTGTTATTGCAATCCATACACACATCAATTGTGTAAAGCGCATTTGTACATCATTCTCAAAAC